ACGACCAAATTTGGCATGTGGATTTTAACCGGTATTCAGTCGCACAAGGCCCCATGGGCCGGCCAGAGTCAGTCACGTAAATAATGCGGTCGGCAACATAGGGCTATGATTCCACAGCTAACGCGCTGTGTACCAGGGGCGACAACACTCAAGTCAAGTCTATCTGAATCCTGCAACGTAAATTATAATCCTAGCTACATTATGAAGTTATTTCGTCAACAATTATGCATGACCATGATGATAATAAGTAGATAGGCCCATGCCATTTTACAGATACAGTTCAAACGAAAAGTGCTTACCTAAACTCGTGGAGATTGCAGCGTGTTTGAGAAAAGATAACGTACTACCTTATAGTTGAGAAATAACATTCAAGATAGTGCCAAAGCTGACTCTAGTTGCAATTCTGAAGATTCAGCTCGATCCAATTGCATACAAAGGAACGGCACGAAATGTGACAGTCAGAAATAGAAATAGTGACGAGTGGGAAATTCAACTCAAAGGTCGGGGATTTCCAAGAACTTTGCACAATCGCTCTCACGTGACGGATCATTGGATTTGATTTACAGGAACACGTGAGATACCCGATATATCGACTCACAGGCACTCGACAAAGGGAATTTAAACAAAATGGGAAAAAAAAAATCGTGAAATAATGTATTGAAATGATTCTATGGCGTGAAGTTGTACCGGGCTGAAACATGCCGCCAGTTAATGTTGTCGCCAGTGAAAACCAATTTCGTATCAAGTTTTTGAAGTACCGTAGTAACAGTATAATGGGGAGAAAGAAATATAATATTCAAATAGTTCTGGATTTATTATCATTATGAACAACTTTTTTTCCTATTATACTGTTGCTACTTTAATATCTTGTAATTAAAATTTTCACTCACGGCAGGTGACTGGCGGCATGCTTCAGCCCAGTTGAAGTTGTATGTGTTGTGGAAAACAGTGAAAAAAAACTTTTTGTTCTGAATTATTTCATAAATATGAGATTTAAAAAAAAAAGTCAACAAATACAATTTTTCTTATCTTTAACTTTGTGTTCTATGGAATGCTATTCCATGGTGCCATAGGACTATAGCTCAGTGATTTTACATAATAAACCAATGAACATTGTCAATCAATTTAGGACCAATTTACGAGTAAAGTTTCCACTTAATTTTTTTGTTGTTGCAGATATATAACATACAAAGATGATGATGGCATTAAAGTCACTTGTCTGTTCTTTTTGATAAATTGAAATACTGATTTGACTATGTGGAAATATATAACTTATCTGAGGCAATGATATCTCAACAAAATCCCTAATCAAAGATGTGAATGTGGGTTACTGTAGTTTCTTGTTAGGTGTGTCACAAAATACACCTACATGTATAATGGGTCTGTGAAGCAAGTTTGAGAGATATCACTTAGATGTTTTCATTATAAAACAAGAAATTAAATACTGATACTGAAATATGATCCAAAACTCATCCAACTTGTTTGTAAATGTAAAATACTAAGCTAATGACAAACTAAACAGTAACTGTTACTTAAAAATAACTTTCCTATTGGAAAGCATCAACCAGAAGCAGTTAATTAAAACAGGAAGCGAGATAAAGTATTTACAAATTAATCAATTGTAACTGTATAAATGGCAACAGGAAGATAACAATGGTAATCATTCTGTTTAAAATAATCAAAATTTTTCTGTAATATTCTGGTGTAATTGTCATTGGTGTGCATAAGGAATATATTTTTGTTTTGGAATATTTTTTAATATATTTCTCAATTTTCTTGTCAAAATCAGCCGTTTTCATTTTTTTTTTATTAGAGGGACCAGGGAACTCTACAAATTGCTTAAGCCTGACCATATTAAGCCAAAATACCCAAATCTAGTCTGATGACTAGCAAACTGTTTAACCATGTCCACAGTTGCTTTGCTTGCAGCTGCCTATTATTAGTCAACATCACTTTAACAGGAACCGACCCAGAAAATAGTTTTGAGCCACAAAAGGAGTACCGTAAAATCTGTATTAGAAGCCGCATCCCTAATAAAAGTCGCACCCATTTTTTTTTAACAATTGAGAACGAAAAAAATCACATTTTCTTATTACCGGGTAGATGTTCTAATAGAAGCCGCATCCCCTCTGTTGCATTGTACCATTTTAAGAGAAACCGTGGCTTCTAATGCAGATTTTACAGTAGATTTTATAACGAGATGTTCGGGAAATCATTTGCTTCACCTACTGACATGTTATCATTGGCCGTTTTCTTTTCACAGATTTCTCACAATGTACATGCAAGACCAGTACCAATACAATGTGCATGTGAATACCACTTTCTTACAATGTACATGTGAATACTAAAATGTTACAAAGTACATTTCATCCTGCGTGCGTGTGTGTGAAATATTCTCTTGTATTTAGTAGCAATTCAAAGGCAATCTAAATGCCTACAATACAACAATCACTGTTTGGTGCAAGACCCAGGGAGTTAACAGAATGTATGTTGGATTCTGGACAGTCAATACAAACGGGTCAATTGATTTGACCTTATTATTATTTAATTTATATTTTCACACTTGAAATAACATTCATTCAACATTCAATATTCAATATTATGAAGACATTTTTTATTTTGATATTTTCAACAAAAAATCTTCTGTGGCAAATAGATTACTGTTGACAAAAAAAAAGGTGTACTGTAGTTCCGAGGGGGCAAACAGAAAAGGCAAAACAATGTTATTTAAAATGTTATCTTGAGATACAATAAACATTTACATGTACCTGATATTACAGTTGCAACAAAAACCAGTGAGCCATCATGGCTACAACATTTCCCTTCCATAACATAACATCCAAGAACCACGTGATAGCCAAGCCATCTTTAGTGTTATTTTAAGGCATGTCAATGATTTTTCTGAAAGTTATGTCAAACAACTATAATGGCCTACTGCACAAGTACAATTTACTGATTGTTCGTTTCTGAAAAGTATGTTACTATCAGTAATTATTGAACACAATGAAGGATCTAATGACGAATGAGTACAGCACCGTTTCTAGTGTGGTACACAAATTTCCTTGATGGGTTTTTTAAAAATTTGCAAAACTCAATGCACAAGGAATACCAAATATAAAATAAGCTGCATTGATTGATTGAAATTTAGCCACAACACAAAAATCATACCGAAACATTTGGTGTTTTGGGAAATCTGCCAATTATATACTTAAACACAAAAGGTGTTGAGCATTGTCAGTCTTGAGTTCAATAATTATTGCAGTGCAAATCCATAAATACCATTCAACTACAGGTCAAAACTAAAATAATCATTACTCATTTAAAAAAAAAAAAAAAAAAAAACAGTATGAAGATGGTTGACCAGTTAAATAAAGCATTCAACATAACTATGTACAATTCTGGAAGATACACCTACACTTCTGAAATAATAAAGTAACAATTGCGAATACTTTGGCAGTTTGATTTGAGATTTGAACTGCTAGACATATCAGAATGTATATGCGTTCTCAAAAAGATAACTGTACATCCCTGGGTTCAAACAGTATTTGTTGTGTCTACGTAGAAAGAGTGATGCCTTGTACAGTAATTCGTATAAGGTGTGTGAAATTAGCAAAGGACTAAGCTAAAAATGAGACATGGAGGTGAATAACACAATATTGATAACAGGTGTACAGCATGCATCTTTAGACATATTTCGACATTGCAACAGAGCGATACCAAACCTTTCATTTTTGGTATGTTTACTGGCATTATATGGTTGTCGTTAGTAGCTACAAGTTAAAATAATAATGCCCTTGGGCTCTCTTGACTAAACACATTTTGTACATTTGAAGAGTTTGAGAAAAAACTTAAATGCTTTTCAAATACCTTGTTTGTTCTATTAGAAGTGCATTTTTTATAGAAGCCAACAAAATATAAAAATTGCTATAATTGTATGTTGGATCATTAAAATAAAATCTGTCCTTTAAATAAACGAATGCGCTATTATTAGAGCAAATAAGGTAAATGAAATACAAATGACTATGAAATCCAACAGCATACTCACCCAATCCATTGCAATAATAATTTTAGTGCAAGAATTCTTATGCAAAACTTGTTAATACTTACCTGTCCATCATTCTGTTGTATATTTCAACCAACCAACAGAGTTTTTAAGGATGTAGTAGAGATTTTCAGAAAGCAAAATTCACATGAATTTATTTTCATTAGATTGTTTTAAACCATATCTAACTAAATATATTATGAAAGCTCATAATTTCATTAAAAATCAATGTTACATTAATTAAGTGGTCATGCGACTGCAAAGTAAATAAAGTACTGTTAAGAAATTTAAAGAGATACTATTTTTTATTGAAAAATGTAGAACCTAACAGTCACTGCAATTTTGGATAACTTTTTCATATTTTCAAATTTATATTTAAACCAGAAAATGTTGTTTAATTTTACATTCAGATAGTGAATTCAACAAAAATCGCTATGACTTATGTTCATATATATTACATCTACAATTTCGGAAAAACTTCTGAAAAAGATCTGATGAGTGCCTATTTGATTGTCAGAATTAAAACAGATATACACTAATTTGCATATGAATAAATGAATAGTTGGGTTGCTGCATTGTTTATGAAATCTTCTGTGACTAATGTTTTGATGCCCGGTGAATTGTAGAACAGGATGTGCAAATTTAGTCATTACAACAATGCAGGTTGGTAATTTGGACCACCTTTTTAAACATGTTAACATTTTTCGTCGTATAATTAAATATACTTGCAGATTCTATAAAATATAAAAAGTTCACTTTGAATAACATGTGCCAAAAAACTCTACTACATCCTTAAATTTGACATCTGTGACACTATCCAACAGTGAGCACATAACACATGTTAGACCCCCCCCCCCCCCAGCAGAGCACACAGTAGTGTCGCCCCCTCCCCAAACACCCCAATAATGTAAAGAGACCCCCCTTCATAAGAAAAATTGTATTGGATAGAGTTCATGTCATTACTTTACAAATCATTTTAGTTTTAATATCACAACATCCTTTTTTTTTCAATACAGTAAATTTGAAAGTGAAGGAAACTGCCCAATATGATATATATATATAATTTTACGTACACACTGCATTTTGATGAATTTGGGTATGCACGATTCCTGCGTATGACTACACAGTCTTGGAAAAAGTCTTTAGGAACGGTGGCAGTAGCGTAAAATGATTAATGATGCAACAACTTGAAATTTGCATGTGTAATGAAGTGATGATGAATGTCTTCCATACTGGATCATCTCTTTCCACAGTCCATCCAACTAGGAATTCACAAGTTATTGTTTATTTTAAATCTCTGCTGAGCAAATTGTATATCACCCACACGCCTCTTAGCTTGGAGCCAAATCATATCTTTTGAATCTATCAGGATCAAAGAAGCCTGCTTTTACAGTCCGTCCTCCAAAATATCTTCCATTAAGATCCACCACAGCTGTCAAAGAGAAAACAGTGAAAGACAAATGAGTATTGTAGACTTTAGAATGTCCGCTGAGCTGGCCACATGTGAGTTCATTGAATGGTCATCATGGCCTCAATGTTTCAACGGTTACTCCAGTGAACCTTAACCACAGCTGCCACATGGCAGTTGGGTTATGGTGTCAGCCAGGTCTAGCCAAACACACCAGCAAACCTCAACCCCGGCTGCCACAGAACGATTGTGGGTTTACCAGGTCAGGCTAAAGACACCAGTAAACCTCAAACACTGCTACCCATATCCGAGGTATGTAAATGTTCGGTAAAACAGCCAGCGTCGCTGCAAATTCGCAATGGCGAAAAAACAGGCGATTGCGATTTCGCAATGGCAAAAAAACTGACGATTGAGAGTTCGCAATGCCACAAAAACAGTCGACTGAGAGTTCACAGTAACACATAAAACGAAAGACCGATTTATATTGTTGAGCATTGCCGCAGTGGAAAATAGAAAACAGTTTTGAAACGTGAACCATCAGAGGTATGCCGACAGTCAACCAATGGTAGATGTGGATTTATGCAACCCTGCTGTTACATTGTACCAAACATGAAGCGGAGAGATTTGACACGGCATAATAAAAGTCAAACTCTCTTGCGAGGACGTTTCATTTGGTGAATTATTTGAGGAAAAAACGTTGTGACAGGATGTAATTCACAGCGTTCGACAGAACCATTGTATCCATAGTTTGAATTACAAAACAACCCCGAACGTGGCGTACAGTCTGCAGACAGCGGTACGTTTCACCGGCAAACTGCACTGCAATCTGAATCATCACAAATATAAAAACCTGGGCGTCATTTTATTTTTGTTAGAAATAAATG